ATTTTCATTAACAAAAAATTGAAAATAATGCTGTAACGTTTATAACACCCAACAAACTATCCATAATAATGAAAAGTTATTAAATTCGAGATTAGTAATTAAAGAAGCAATGAATAAATTTAGGAAATGAGTTATAAAAATGAAATATTTAATTAAGATCTGAAAATGATAGTAAGATTTTTTGGTAATACCTTTATCACAAAGTGGACCTTCCAGAGCTGATACTGAACAATCACAACGGAAACTGTTGTAACCGTTCTCACACCGCCCAAAATTTTTGCACGGTGATAAGGCGCAAAAATCCTGATTCACATCTGTTGAGCAACCACGACTAATTCCTATAATCGATATTTTCTTCAAATTACGACTCCATTATATTTTTGATTGTAAATAAATTACAATACATATAATTATTTGTTATCGATAACAATTGTACGATCGAACTTCGCATCTTTTATATACAGTGAACAGAACAGATATACTTCAATTTTATTAAACTTTATAAATGCAAATTTAAAGCCCGGAAATTGCACTGCAGTTTTCTATTTACGAAAAAAACAAAATTATAAATGTGATCTGTTATTTAGCAAATAAAATTATTTGAAATTCTCTTACATTCAAAATTCAAAATTAGTTAAATAAGTATGCATCATTGAAATCTCAAAATTTTAATTTTTATGATAATAAAGAACCAAAAGAAAGATTGAAATACAAATAAAAGTTTCACTATTATATTTTGTCCAAAGAATAGTAAATAAGAAAAAATGACAATTTCGTTCCAAAATTTTCAAATTTTAAACTCATTGCAATCATTGCAAGTCACGCCCGTATATTTAATAATGTCTTGCAAGTGTTACAAAAATATAAAGGAGTAATGTGATGAAGCAGTAATTAGATTAGAAAGTTTGTAAAGATCAAAAAATATTTGCAAAATTAATTACAAAAAGTACTAAGTATTTTTGCTAGAGAATTTTAACAAAATTGGTGAAAAAAAGGCTGACTGAAGTAGTTAGTTTGAATAAATGGAACAAAATAAACAGCCTAATAGCATTTATATCCTACCATTGTGCTTCAATAAATTTGAAGTTTGTACCTATATTGTATTTGCATATAATTTATATATTGATAAGCAAGCGAAATATCGATATGCTTGAGGATTAGGATAGCAAGTATTATAAAGGAATAGGCTAGGAAGATAGGAAAAGCGAAAAACAAAAAAATTTGCAGTTTTTTTTTCTTTTTTGTGACAAGTGAAGAAATAGCTATAAAAGAATAATTGATTTTCAATTTGTGTTCGCCATTCCGTATGGTGTGGGATTTTGAACTTATATGTCACCATTTATGATGTGATATTTTAAACTTACATGTCACCATTCCGCATAGTCTAAGGATTTTGAAATTATACTTATATGTTATCATTCTGCCACTTTGCATTTATATGCTCCATTTTGCTATGAAATGATTTCTGACATAACGATACAGGATTGGATGTGATAAATGAGGAAGTGAAGTCTATAAATGATCAAAGTTCATTATGAATTTACCTTGTTTAATGTCTTTTTGTTGTTCCTCAAAAATGCTTGCAATATTTGGGCTGATACCGTTCATTCGAATGCCTTTCAAGCAACCAATATATCCCTTTCGTAAATTTGCTGTCCAAACCGGATAAGGTACATCAAAATCAACAATATCCGATTCATTCACTGGCCATGGAACAGCTCCCAAATAGATCGGTTCTTCTGTAATGTAAACAGTTATTAATAATATTGTAAAAGCAATCAAAACTTTTGTTATTTCATTTATTCACTAGATTAGACACTCAATAATTTAATTTCCTCAAACAGTTTAATAATTTATAATTAAAAATGACAAATGTAATAATATTGCTTAGAGTAATTTCTTTTCAAAAAAAAAGAAAAGTGATTCAAAATTTTTTTTGACAGAGATCTTGAAATGGAATTGTACTATGATACTTTAAATGATAATCTAACTTTAAGGACTTTTTATGCATTCGTCAGTGTTAAATTTATCTTCCCTTCCTATTTTTACGTCAAGACTTATCGCATGTGATCATACCATAAATAATTTTAATTGCTATCATAAAAATTCTCCTCATATTAAATAAAGCAAAAACAAGAAATGATTATCAATTGCTCAAAAAAAATTAGTTTTTTTAAATCAAAATTATAAAATTATTGGAGCAGGAAGCGAAAAGAACCGGATATATTGTTAGATGAAACTTGTTAATGAGAAAAAAGCGAATTAAAATATGCATTACCGATGATTAAATTCGCAGACACACCAGGTGTTGAAAAATCGGTTTTAATATTATCAACAATCACTGTACCCGTTCGTCCCAACCGTTCAAGCGTTACGCTATGCCATACCGCCCCATCTGTTATTTTTTCTGCTGTTGTCTATAAAAAATTAAAAAAAAAAAAAAGAAAATAAGCTGTTGCGTTAGCAACCTTACTAACATTCGGTGATATTTTTGAGATTTTAGTTTTTTTTTTTCCAAGGAATTCATTGATGATAAATTAATCGTTTGCCAATTTACGCTTTAAATTTTTAATCAAAATGAAATCTTTCATAATGTTCAATTTGCCTAACTTGGAACAGCAATTTTAAGATAGTAACAGTGGTTAAAATTAAACCAAATGTAAATTGACATTTTTAGAAAAGCTAACAACCTGTAATCTAACATGTCCTGATCCCAGATTAATAATCATAAACAAATGACCATCAATTAACTCAAAAGCAAAATAATCATGCCCCGTTTTTGCGGTCGGTAATGATCCGTGATAGAGAATGAGACCATCAAGTTCTTGTGTTCGTAGCTGAAAGCCTAAAATTTTTGCAAAAATTATCGTGAAATGAACTAAAATATGCATAATGTGTTAAAAATATCCGGAATGATCTATTATGATTTTTATTTCTTTTAAATTTTTAATTAAAATAAAATCTAACATAATGCTCAACCTCATTAACTAAAAAAACGGAAACCCCCAACATCAGGAATAAATTGATCGACTAGAATTTTCGAAAAGAATTAAAAACAAAAAAAATGATTTTTCATGAATAAAAAAAGAATTAAAAAAGGATGATTGATTCTATCACGAATAAAGTTAGTGAAATTTTCAATGTTGGTTTAAATTGATTATAAAAGAGCACAAATTCGATTGCAATTTACTCAAACTGCCGCTGGCCACCGAATTCCATTTTGGTAAAGTAATGTAATGTTGGCCAGTGTTGAATGAAAATACATCTGCATGTATTGCTGGTTTATTGCAAGAAAATGTTAAATCGCCGGCTGATCGTATAATTGATTGTCCGTATCCTTGATCGGCTAATGTTATAAAATTAATCAAATGAGCATCAGCTTCATATTTGATCTAAAAATATAAAACAAAAGTGTTAATTTTTATTTTTGAAAAAATATCATCCTCAAAAAGTTTGCATTAATAGATATATATATAGCAAATTTAAAAAAAAATACCTTTTTCATGCAACCTCGGAAATTTTCCATTTTAATTTCCGGGATATTCTTATCCTTCGGCATACCACCCAAATAAGCAAATGTATTAACAAGCCAATCAATTTCTGGAACATGTTGACGAATTTCATCTTTCAGATCGTCGACACTCAAAATCATCTAAAAGGAAAAAATCTATCTAAGCAATTAAAATGATGTATGAGTTGAAAAATAAAGAATTTTGTCGTGTTAGAAAGATAGCAAAAATTTCTTTCTCTCTTTTTTTTTGAAAAGTTTTATAAATATGAAAATCAAAAATTTGAAATTTTATCAATCGGAAATCAGGAAATTCCTTCGTTTCCATCGATTTGAACTATCCAAATCAATAAACTACGACAAAATCCCGATACTTTTCCCACGCCTTTTGAACAAAACGATAGCAAAAGAATTTTGTAAAAAATAACAAATTAATGAAATACACCCGTTAAAAGAAAAAAACACAAGCAGGTAACTGATCGTACAAAAGTATACATCTGATTAACAACTAAATTTAATTACGCACATTAAACTTCATATAATTTAACAAACAAAAACTTGCGGGGAAAAAACGACATTGAAAAATTAAATTATGAAAATATGAAGATATGAAATTTATGAAAATTTTAGATCAAAGGAAATGCAAGATTTTTTTTGCTCTATTTAAAATATTTTTTTTTTTGGTCTAATGATACTGATTTTAATTTTTATTTTCGACAAAACTTTTTTCGACAAAATGATAAATTATGTGTGTATTTTACGTGTCAAATTCAGATTTAGCAGGAATTAAAAAAAGTTAGAAAACGATGTAAATCGAAAAAAATTAAATTAAATGTAAAAAATGTCATCAGGTGACAATGGATATAAAGTGGAAATTGTGCAGCTCAGGCAGTGATTAATCTGCGATTTTTTAATTAGTGTTAACAATTAACATTCGTTTTTCAAATGATAATGAGAAAAATTATAGGTATGTCATTTTAGCATATCATTTGATTCATTTCGTATTTAAATGAACAAGCATTAGGCTGAAAATTTTGCGCCATAGAGGTCCAGTTTTTACCGCCATCCATAAAATGTAGATTAAATTCGGTAACGAAGGTAAAAGAACGATGCAAATCAAAAAAAGATTAAATTAAATTAAATATAAAAAATATGAGCAACTGCACAAATAAATTAAAGCACTCAGAAAACACACGTTAAGTAAATTTTGCAATTGAAACAGTTTCTCAAAGATCTCTTAAATTTTTTAAATATGTAAACTAGTCAAAAAAATAATGGTGAAAATTGAAAACCTCTCAAAAATTTACTAAAAATTTGAAATCTAAAAAGAAAGGTGAAGATCCTGGAAAAAAATAAGGAAAGTTATTACTAAAAGAAAAATTATAACAAAGCCATGCTAAAATTTCTGGAAAAAAATTTTAATAAAATGCTTAGCAAAAATGAAAAAGAATTAATTTTTGGCACACCTCAACCGTTACTTACATGTACTGAAGCGACAGATGCTGTTCTCTGAAGTTGTTATCATTTTCAAAATTTCTATTTTACCATTCATAGCTATGTGCTTTCAAATATATAAATCACTGAAGTTAGCAAAAACATGTTAGTGATAAGAATTGAAAAAATCCATTGGAGATATGACATTAACATTGCATCTTCTCAAATTAAGTTTAAATTATCTTTTCTCATTCATGCAACTTTCAAAATTCAGTTTGATATTAAAGCTAAATTTCTAAAGAAAGATTGTATCAGTTTCCTCATCCTGGTATAGCATTCATTTTCTGAATACTTTAAATTGAACTTTTAACTGTATACCAAAATTGATACCTTTCAAAAATAGACAAAATATTTAATTGCTTAAACAATAAACTAACCAATGTTAGAGTCCTAAAAACAGTAACTGTATGCCAGCGATCATCATTATATCGACCTGTTGGATAATCATTGAAAATTCGTATCAACCGTTTTTCGGTACCATCAAATTTTGTTGCTGCAATAACTGCACCGCCGTCTAGAGTGATGTAAACATAATTCTGCAAAAAAATACGGAACTTAAAAACGAAAATGAAAGGGATTAGAAATAAATTAATAAAAATATAATTTAAGCAAAATGTTTCTTTGAAGATGCTAAATTTTAAATTGAAATTTCAAAGGACACATTATTTCTTAGTAAATTTGGATCATTTCTTGGAGCGTTTCAAAAATTCCGAGATATACCAGATGATCACCACCGACATATAATATAGCTCGTTCATGCGTTGTTTTGAAAGACAGTGTAATATTTTCCGATCGAAAACGTATAATTCCGGCCGAATTATTGCTAACATCATAACCGATCAATTCTTCACCATTGAATGATAAATTAGAATCAAATCGAGCTGAAAGAATTCATAAAATTATCATTCAATTAAAAATTGAATGAAAAAAAAAACCATTCAATCGATAATATTTGCATATTCCGCACCTAAATTATCTATTGCAGTTTTAATAATTAATAATTATACTGTAAAAGGATGGCAAACAACATTGCTATATTCTAAAAAGTATTGAATTCTTTTAGTATCAAATATCTTAAATTTAAATTTCAAATACTTTGTTCACAACGACTCCCGCGGAAATCGGTAAATGAACAATCACATTTCGGTCCTTCGTCTGTGCTATAGCAAATACCGCCATTTTGACAGAAGTAAACATTTTTACCACTAATATTTGTTGGTTTACAATAATCATCATCTGATTGTCTCATGCCAACACTTTCGATTAGTTGCGGTGATGTGACACCTGAAAATTGATATTGTATATTGGACGAGAAAAATAAACATATAAGTTGAATAATAATAAGAAATAACATAAACAAAGAATAAGGAAGGAAGTAAGCAACATATAATGATATGTGAATTCATAAATAAGACCAGTAAACATATACGTAAACAATAAAGAAAGGATGAACCAATATATGTAAACAATAAAAGGAAGGTTAACCAATAAACATATATATATATATATATATATATATAAATAATCAATATGAAGTACAAATACACTGTCAAATAAATAAAATAATTAATTAGATAGTAAATATGTAAACAATTATAAATAAGCAAACAAATCGAAAATTTAATTTAATAAATAAACAAATTTATAAACTAAACAATAGTAACCTTGTGGATAAAGCTTGTAGAGTAAATTTTTTATTTCGCCGGCAAACGAAATTGTATGTCGCTTTAATGGTGAACTTATTACACCAAGCACGTAAGTATCCTTTAAAAAAATTCTTTTTGAATTATTACAGGATAGAACTACTGAATAAATAATGAAATAGTACAACTTCACTATTTTCAACTTTTATTTTCCATTACAATAAAAACAAAATTTCAATAATTAATAATAGATTAAAAAATTCGTCTGAATATTCCAAAAACACTGAAATCGAAAAATCGGACAAATCACCTTCGGAACACCACCAATAAACATGTCAGAGTTTGTTTTCAAATCACCAAAACCAAAATTATGTTGACTGAGAGTTTTGAAGAGGACCGTATCATCCAGCTGTAATTTTACATTTTCCCAGGCCTGGAATGAATTTGAAGATTTGCAATACAACGAATCATTTACGACTATCTTTTTTAAGTAACTTGGAAATCATTTTTCAAAAATATTTGTTCAGTAAAAACCAGGTTACAATTTTAATAAAATATTTTTCTCTCTAAATTTAAAAAAGAAATGGTTTGAAAGATTAACTGAATTTTAATAAACTATGCTTTGAATTTTTGAATATTTGACAAAATTTCCAAACAGCTATCATAAATTACGCTTCAGCGACTAACATTTATGAAATGGAAGAACTAAAATACTCATCCTCGTTTGTCGTAATTTGATAATTTTAATTCCGATATTGCTAAATTAACCTTATTTATTTAAATTATCGTACAATCTAATAGCTTCATGCTTAAGCTATACGATATCTTGCCATTATGTAAAAGTAACCTGAAATAAAGTTAGTCGATGCCATCGATAATCACTCACTTCAACATCATTCAGTCGCATGGTAATGACCGATCTTTCTAATGATAAATAATTTGTTTCATCTCCTAATCTGCAAAAATTATTTAAACTTCCTAAATTTTCATTTTTCTTTCAAATGATAAAAATATATTAACGTATGTTTTGGTTGTAAACATTATCATATGTAAAAAATGAGGAGGGAAAAATTTGAAATTAATTTATTTAATAAAGCCTAGGAAAGATCAAAGAATGCAAACTAAATGAATGTGAAAAAATTTGACGAGTACGCCAAGTATATGTGCTTCAAATTGATAAATTTAATGAGGGGAGAGCCTTTTTCTGACATAACTCAAGAAAATTTATGATGTCAACGGCCTGCTTTTATGATGGCTAGTTGTAATATGGCTCCAAGTTAGCAATCATTTTTTTTTAAATATTCTAAATGTATAAATAGATCTCTAGAAGATAGTGACAAATGAAAAAGAGTCTCGATAAAAAGATTGCATTATTACAAAGAATCATATCTCATATAATTATATGGAGGAACCTACATTGGCTGCATAAACTTAGCATTGAAAAGTAATATAGGCCAAATTTTTATTTGATAAAATAGCTAAAAATTTAAAAAATGGTCGACAAATGCTCTCAGCAAAAATTCTTCAATTGAAATGCTTTGTTTAGTATTTTGATTAGACTGTTTAATTTTTCAGGTAATATCAGTTTCAATCGCTAGCAAATATGATTTAGACATTTTTAAGAATTAATTATTGAAATTTTATCGTACCTAAAATCCAATTGCAATTTTTTGTTAGCAATTGTAAGACAATAAAAATTTCCTTGAACTCCACCATCATCGGTGTATAACAATAATGCATTGCTTTGTTTCGTTCGAAAATCCAACGATAAATGATTTTCAAATGTTTGCACCCATTTGGGATACCTATAACGATTATAGTCTTTAATTTACCAATTGAAAATTTTAATCAAAAAAGTTACACGTTTAGAAATTCATCTCTTTTTTGATTTAAAATGAGCAACTCACCTTGCATATGAACCAGGTGCTCCAGAAAGCAATATAGCATTTGATCCTTCCACTAACAATATAATTAATAAGAATAACAATTTCAACAAGTTAAAATATTCACAACCATATAGCGATGACTTCAAATTGTTGTTATTATCAGTGGGAACGCTGAATTCTGAATGTTTCCGGGGATAATTTATAGTAAAATTAGCAGTGCAATGAATTGATACTCCTTTCCGATTGTACGCTATAGATGGTACATCGACTATCACAATTGATGATGAGAGTGACAACGTAGATAATGATGGTGATAGCTGAGGTAATGATAACGCTGCTTTCATCGTTGACGATTTTGATATGAGCAATTTTGTAAGATAATTCGTTGGATTCTGTTTTCGTTTACAGGATATACTTAGAACTGTAAAAAGACAAGCAAAACTTTTAGGCAACGGATGAGAATTTCTAAATGATTCATCAAATTCCAAACTTGAATTCAGGTTTCGAGAATTTGAGGCAGTACTTGAATATTCGACGAATAAAGTAATTATAATTTTGGAATCAGAAATATTACTTGATCCTGGTTCAGTTTCTTTTAATATTGATGATTTGCCTGAGACAGTGTTTTGAGCAATTAATATTTTTAGTACATTTGCTGCACAACAGTCAAATATTGAGCGAAATTTTTTGGCTAACGAGAATTGATTGAATTTGTGCCTTGATCGAGAATGTCCCCTGCTATTTCTTTTACACAAAAAATTAAATCGCAAAAGTTCTTTCGATTTTTCGCTTCGAGATATCAATGTTTTCGCTTTTTTCCAACAACGCATTTCCATGGAATATAAATTAAAACACAGGTCCGGGTATGAGAAATCTAAAATAGTTGAAACTTTTTCATCACAAAAATATGCCACTTTAATAATTGGGAAGTGTTGATGATATCGACTTCCATAACAAATCCTAAATTTGTTTATAGGTAGAAACTTTAAACGGATATTTTTATTCTGTTTTAAATTGAAACATTGAGAAACTTCATATTTCTTAGAAAAAATCATTTGCTTTTCACAGTAGAACATGATAGTCCTTAAGTAATAAGAAAGGAGTGCAGAAAAAATAAATCTTTATTTGAATTAACTAATCATTTACACAGAGAATTCACAAATTCTCCCAAGGATAATAAATCAGCATTTTCAGTATAGTGCGATACTGAATCAGCTTTAAATAGAAACAAACCGAAAAGTGGTCCGATCATTAGTCATGCATGATTTTTTCGATTGTCGGATAATGTATGACAATATGCAGGAGTGATAAGGCAATCTTGTAAATGTCTGATACTGAAAAATTTACACTTTTAACCATACAACTTTTAGTAATGAAATCAAAATCATTGGCCCAATTAGTTGGAGGTTAAAGTGTCAGTCATTACATTTTTTTCCCCACTTGTTTGCTGACTAAACAGATATTTTCAATGCATTGCAATTTCAAAACATGACGCATTTCTAATACATCATTCATCTTAGGTGATAATCAAAATACTTTATTTATATTTCAAATTATTAACCTAAATGAAAATGTTTAAAATATAAATAGAAAAAATGAACAAAATTTTCATCTATTATATTTTTCCTGGTCTACTATTTTAATCCAAAACCTTTAAATTTTTGCTAAATAATAAGTACACATTTTTTTTTCGAAATATTCAAAGTACAATATATTAGAATAAAAGTTTAAATATACCCGCAATATGATTTAAAAGAAGTAAAAAATTAGACAAAGTGCAAATAAATACACAACGTAACACAGTGTCGAGCAATTAAAAATGTAAGAAAAGAAGTAAATAAAAATATCATTTGTTCAATTCACCAAATCCAATGCTGGTAACAGTGAATGGAATAAAAAAAAGATAATAATAGTAATGGTAAATAAAGATATGACCAAACTCATTATTAAATAGCTTTTTTTTATTAAACAAATAATAATTTATCATCTGCAAATTCCTTTGTCGCTAAATTCAAGCGAAATAAATATGAAACAAATCAAAATTATTAATTAATTAATTAATAACTTTGATTTGCCCCAGTCAGATGAAAATCGATGGATAAAATAGTATGTTGTTCCTCTATCAACTGAAAATGAGAGAAGGAGATCAAATAGCGTTGGCATAAATTTTAGGTTTTTTAAATAATAATATAAAAAATAAAAACGAATTTTTATTCAACCTCATCTGCTAACATACAATTCTATTCCTATAAACTGATTTAATGATTTAATACTGCTTCCAACATCATAAATTGAGAATCAAATTCAAATTACGATTTCTTATATTTCCACTTATATATTTTAACTATTTTTTGTTGCAAATACTAAAAACCATTTCACAAATAAAATCTTTTCATATAATCAACTGAAAAATAATAAAATGCAAAAATTAATCGAATTAATTGATTAATTAACTTTCATGCAATCTCAATGGTACTATTGATGTGTAAAATCTTCTAACTTCTTGAGGAATAGTGATCGAAACTTCAAAAGCAATGACGGATTTGAATTTATAGAAATGAGTAAACAAAGCTGATTCACGATTAGATAATTTTTTCGAAAAGTAATGCAATTCAATCGCTCAACTATATGCTTGCTTGAAAATAAGGAAGGAAAAATGGAGAAGCTAGCGAATAGCTGTAATACTAATACTTATTATGAAAACTGAAATATATCTCAGCAGGCAAGGCTTGCCTGTTTTTCCGGCTATTGACAGGTTTTATGTGAATTCTCATCTTTTCAAATGGCTATATAGCCTAATTTATCGTTGTTTGAGAACTTTGAAAAACAAAAAAAAAAATCCTCACTCATTTTAGCTGCGCAAAATGACCATTACTGAAAAAGAAGAAAAAAAGAGCAAGAAAGCAAAATAATAGCTAGATGTAATTATTCGTATTAGGAAAAGAAATGGAAGAATATTGTAACAATGACAGTTGGAATTTTTTTACTTATTTTTTTATTAATTTTACTTACTGAAATTGAAATGGATAAGTGGCTTTTTTAGAAATGGTATATTTTAAGAAAATTAAATTTCCATTCATCTCTATGAAAATTTTATAACTTTTTAAAATTAATAGTAAAGAATGACAAATTCGAATTTATTGAGATAAGCAAATGGTGGTCCCTTCTTTGCACTCCCATTGATGTGATATGTGACATTATTTGAAAAATGACCCTTCTTTCATTTACATATTGTTATTGTCAGTGAGAAAGCATGCCTACTAAACTTCTATTCTGACTAACGAGCTTACACGTAGTGACCATTTCAACTTAGCATCAAATTGAATGACTTCAAGTAAGTTAGACAATGAACAATGAACATTATTTTAGATGAATGTAAATTAAAGTAACAAGCAATAGCAATGATTAACAAGTACGCAATATAAAATCATCTCAGACTTATCAATAAGTTTTGCAAATTATCGATTTTGCTTGTAAACATTTTAAAAAATGTAATATTTTTCTTGTTCAAAGAAGAGAAATTACGGATAAAACATAAATTGATCAATTCTGGAAAGTAGGATATTAGCTCAGTAAGCTTTTTCCTAGGCTCTGGCCCAGTTTTAGTTCGATCCTGCAACTATGACTTTATCTAAACTATCTTTTAAGCGAAGAAATTAAACAGAGCATTGGAACAGCTCTGCTCTATTCGTTATTTAACTATCGAACTAACAAGTAAGAGAAAATTCACTAAGCAATCATAAATTGGAATGCGCAGATAAAAAAAAAACATGAAGAGAGAGAATGAGGAGAGAGAAACATGAAAAGAGAGAATGAGAAGAGGTTTAAAGACATCACCTGAATTTTTAAAAAAATTTTGCACATTCATCTTTTCTCACATAAACATCAAAACTTTTGAAGGAAATTAATCGACCGCACTGTTTGTCAAGAAAAGAAAAAATATCTCTTCAACATTTCGAGATGGATCAGATTACATTACATTCACAGGTTGCAGGAAGAGGTCAAACATTTCATCTCAAATTTAAAATTTATATTGTGTTTTTAAAATTAAAAACGATTTATTAAAATCAATCTTTTAAATTTAGCAATATTGAATAATTTGTATTAGAAAGATGATAAATGGATAAATCAAAAGTATATATGAATTTTCGTCTAAAATAGAAGAAAATTCATATATTACTTTGCACATAAATGTCTGCTTAATTAAGGGAGAAGAATGCGATGCACTACTTAATTAAATATTTACTGCACTAATAGACGCAAATCAGTTTAGCTATTGAATATCTAAAAAATTTAATGATTACAGAGCGATGGAAAGAAATTGTTGAATTCATTTCTTATTCTAAATCTATTCAAAATTATCCATTTACTACAAATAACATCAAACACTTTTGGTACATTACATATTAATCAAATAATAAATATCGAATTACAGATCGCAACTAGAAGAGATACTTATAAATTGAGAAATATTCGGACATAACTACTTTATAACTATATCATATCAACCATATTATTATGTCAGCTGCATCATCCCATGACTATATCATGTCAACTTATTTGACTAACTATTAACATTCATTTCTGCAACTTTCAATATTTTCATCTTTCATATTTATTGATTGATACCAATAGTGCCGCTTTTTTTAGCATCATTCATCATCCTCAGCTTTCCAATTTTGGTAAGAAAAAAAAATAAAATGGAAAGTTCAAAATCGCTACAGTAAGTCGATGAAGATTTTCTATTTTTTTTACTAGATTGCAATATAAATTTCAAACAATCAAATAAATAACAATTCATATAGCTTATTTAATGCAAGGAATGTATTAAACGTGTAAAATACATTTAACGTATAAAGTGCATTTAACGTATACGACTATATCATAAAAAGGAATAGCTTTATTTTAAAATTATAGAAGATATAATTAATGCAAAATAATAAACGTATTACATATGATATTACGAAAATAAAAACAGCATTAAAAAAAAATTTTTTTTTAAAAATATACTTTATACTGATGGACAGATAAGGCCAGCAAATTTCAAAGTTACGTATATGTGTCTGTATTTCCAATACGGATGGTTTAAGATGTTTCGCCGCTATCGTGAAACAAAATGCCCCGATGGGAATTCATCTATAAACACATCTACTCCATTGTGACTTTGTTTGGATTGAAGCTTTAAGCTAAATCTAAAGCTCAAACATTTCATCTTCGAGATGAGGAAAAGAAATTGAAGGAAGCATATCAATTGGGAGGAGGTATCTGATTAGACAGATATTGAGAAAAAAAAGAATGCCAAAACTATTGTTGTGATATATTTTTCGATGCATATAAATCATTA